AAATAATTTCAATTTTTAATAAGTATCTCATCTCCCAAGCCAAAGACCGAAGTAAGCTTTTGCTGTTCATAATTCTTCATCTTTGTTTGCTATATTGGTGTATATAAGCATTATAGTCGTTGTTGTTCTAAAAGCTACTCGTAAAGGATCACTTCTATATAAATAGGGATCTGACCTATAGTCCCGGGCTTGGTTTTTTTCTCAACAAAAAGCTTGTCGATTTCCGTTCCGATTAATGACATTAGGCTGAATACATGTAACAATTTGTTTTTCATAAATCTTTATTTTAGTGAGTAGAGGTAGGAGGAGCATTGATATTCTGAGTTTGTTATCTCCAAATGTAACAATTGAATGATATTTTTCTTTACTTCTCATTGTACATAATGGTAATGTCTACTGTCTCTGGAACTCTGTTTTTTATGTCTAGGCTATTTATTTTACAACACATTTCCGTTGGATATAATAAAAACATGCAATTAATGTGTGCAAATCATATGGGCCTAAATGAAATCCAAGGGAGTACAGTTACTGATATATGTAGCCCTACTGTTTCAAAACTTAAGATCTTAAAACATTGACTGAAAACAAAAGTACATGTATGTTATTCTAAATATATTAAGCTCAAATAATTCAAGCAATACGTAACATTCTTGTACTACATGTAACCCAGACAAGCACTAGTAGCACAGACAGAATAAAAGCAATGTGATTAAATTCTAAGGAATATAGATACAATTGAAATTCATCGCAGCTCAATGCTGCCGAGAATACCTGTATCGAGTAACACAGAGTGAGTTATTCTTGTCCTCGGGGAAAGTGTGCTATACTGAGACTTGTTCCGCCTGACTGACAACTGTATATTGGACTGTTACGATTTGATCTCTCTCTAGTGTTTCTTATATCAAAAAATGGGAATGCATAAAGGATAGATAATTGAATAAACATACACAAGCCTATAAAAAAATTAAAATAGTCTTTGAAAAGGCAAAAATTTAAAACTATAAAAGTGTGGCAACAGGTGGATTCGAACCCCCGACTTTAAAAATAAAGTACCCACGATATAAAAAACGTCAGCGCAGCGCATATATCAAATGAGCTATTGTGACTACAAGATTGAACGGTATAAATTTGAAGCAGATTGTCAAAATCAAGTTTACTTATTTTTTGTAGGTTTTTTGTGAATTTCGACCTTAGGGCAGGGTGCCCCTAAAAAAAATCCTATCTTAAATTATTCCTTACATCCCAACCTATCAAAATATCACAATTTTATTTAGGGGCAGGCCTGCCCTGAAGGACTTCTAGGCCAAAATTTATGCAAAAATCAACGCTTTAACGGACAAAATGGTGTTTCGGCCAACTTTGGAGGTTTATTCTGAAGTTGTAAATAATAAATTTTAGTTGTAAAATTCAAATTTGAAAAATTTAGACATATATACGGTAGAAAACAACAAATAAACATTGATTTTTAAATGTCACTTTTTCCGGGAAATTGTTCTTTCCTATAGGTCAATTCTTTTGTAATAGTGAATACATCCTTTTTCTCATTTTTATCTTATCAAGAACCACTGGACCATAACAACGAAAATTAACACAGAATATTTTTGGTAAAGTTTTGTTCAAATGAAGGGTCACATCCTCTTTTAACGGATACATGTAGAAAAAATTAGATGGGGTGCAGGCGCAGATCAAGGAATTTTTTTCCACGGAGGGGGTGGGGGGAGGGGAGGGGAGGGGATCCCAATAAGAAAAAATATTTCAACCCAGAAATTTCTTGACGAGCCAAAAAAAAAACTCTTTTCCCAAACGTGAAAAACCTATTTCGTGTGTGTGTTTGTGTGTGTGTATGGGGGAGGGGGGGGTCGTTGACTTTTAAAGCTTCATACCTAAGACTTTTCATACCATTTTAACACAGATCCGCGTTTTCGAGGAAGGGTCCGTGTTTTCTAATGGGGGGGGGGGGGGCATGGTCAGTTTTACTTGTTAGCTCACCTGAGCTGAAAGCTCAAGTGAGCTTTTCTGATCACCCGTTGTCCGTCGTCCGTCCGTCTGTCTGTCCGTCCGTCCGTCTGTAAACTTTTCACATTTTCAACTTCTTCTCAAGAACCACTGGGCCAATTTTACCCAAACTTGGTACAAAGTATCCTTGGGGGAAGGGGAGTTTAAATTTTTAAAATAAATGACCAAGTCCCCTTACAAGGGGAGATAATCAAGAAAAGACAAAAATAGGGTAGGGTCATTAAAAAATCTTCTTCTCAAGAACCACTGGACCAAAAAAGCTGAAACTTACGTGGAAGCATCCTGGGATAGTGAAAATTCTAAATTGTTAAAGTCATGACCCCAGGGGGTAGGGCGGGGCCACAATAGGGAATCCAAGTTTTACATTGAAATATATAGGAAAAATCTTTAAAAATCTTCTTCTCAAGAACCACTGAGCCAGAAAAGCTGAAACTTATGTGGAAGCATCCTGGGGTAGTGTAGATTCTAAATTGTTCAAATCATGACCCCCGGGGGTAGGGCGTGGCCACAATAGGGAATACAAGTTTTACATTGAAATATATAGGAAAAATCTTTAAAAATCTTCTTCTCAAGAACCACTGAGCCAGAAAAGCTGAACCTTATGTGGAAGCATCCTGGGGTAGTGTAGATTCTAAATTGTTCAAATCATGACCCCCGGGGGTAGGGCGAGGCCACAATAGGGAATACAAGTTTTACATTGAAATATATAGGAAAAATCTTTAAAAATCTTCTTCTCAAGAACCACTGAGCCAGAAAAGCTGAAACTTATGTGGAAGCATCCTGGGGTAGTGTAGACTCTAAATTGTTCAAATCATGACCCCGGGGATAGGGCGGGGCCACAATAGGGGGAATCTCAAGTTTAACATTGAAATATATAGGAAAAATCTTTAAAAATCTTCTCAAAAACCACTGGACCAGAAAAACTGAAATTTATGTGGAAGCATCCTGGGGTAGTGTAGATTCTAAATTGTTAAAAATCACGGCCCCTGGGGGTAGGGTGGGGCCACAATAGGTATTACAAGGGGGGAAGTCTGGTAATGAACAGCATGGCCAAAGTTACTCAGGTGAGCGATGTGGCCCATGGGCCTCTTGTTAAGTATATACATTTAACTGCCCCCAACCCCCTCTAGATCCGCGCATGGGGTCATTTGAAAATAGTATTCTCAAGAATCCCTGGACTAGAATGAGAAAATTTCCAACATAGCATACATTCATTTTTTTTTTCAAATATTGATTCCAGGGAGAAGGTTTGGGCCGGAAAGAGTGTTCATAATTTAACAAAGGAATTTATATATCCTCCCAAACGAAGTGTGTGGGTTTGGGGTGGGGGTGTTTTGAGTCTTTTGGAATCACAATGTCCGTCTGCCTGGCAGTCCGTCTGTACGTGATAGTTCGCCAAGGATATTATAACTTTGTTATGAAGAAACTGGAAGGTCATACTTGGTACAAAGATTACTAATGATCCGAAGGTGTGTCATGGTTTTGATCCAACATCATTCCAGCAAGTTCAAGGTCATTGGAAAAAAATAGCAAGTATCATACTTGATACAGAAATTGCTTATGACAAAATTAAAGGGTTTGATATGACTTTCATCCAAGGTCATTCCTGTAAGTTCAAGGTCACTGAGAGAAAACTGTAAGATTACTGTATGTGTTATAACTTTTGAAGCTCATACCTGGAACAAAGATTGCTTATGATCCACCGGTTTGAGATAACATAGTACTAGACTGGCAGAAGAAGTGGCAAAATTCGTGCCTGGATTATAAATTTATAAGGGGTGGGAGGAACACAAGAAACTTTTTCTCAGATTGCTTGAGATGGGTTTTCCTGACCTTGAACAAAGGTTTTTTCGGCAAGTTCAAGGTCACTGGCAGATAAATATTATTTTTTTTCCACATACTATAACTTTGTTATATAAAATCACTGGAAGCTTTTACTTGATACAGAGATTGCTTATGATCCAAGAATGTGTTTTGACCTTGATCCAAGGTCTTTCTGGCAAGTTCAAGGTCACTGACAGAAAAGTGCAATATTCTTTTTCAGGTATATCTTTGTCATTGGGTATCACTGGAAGCTCATAATTTGTTCAAAGGTTGTTTTTGACCTTAACATAGGTCATTTAGGCAAGTTCAAGGTCACTGATATAATAAGTGTAAAATTCAAAAAGGTCTAGTCGCCCAAGTGGCGCAGTGGTAAGAGTGTCTGCTCTAGAGTCGTGGATTATGGAGTTGATCCTTACGTCGCAGGTTCGAATCCCACTGTGGGACGCAGAGACTGATCCTTCGGATGAGACCGTACAAACTGAGGTCCCGTCTGGCAGTAGGTGCTGGCACGAGAAAGATCCCTCACTGCTAAATGGCCATGTGTGCCGAGTATAGGTCAAAATTTGTAGATCTCCATCGGCAAATGGTGGCGTCTCCATATGATTGAAAAATTCTCGAAAGGGACGTTAAACAACATACAAACAAATAAACAAAAAGGTCTATACTTTTGTAATAGAAAAAACTGCATGCATTTGCATTTCACTGAAAAGATGATAAATATATCATCCAGAGTGTGTAATGGCCTTGACTTAAATTCGAGGTCACTTAGAATATGATGTTTTGGATGAATAGTCTGAAAGAATACGTGACTGTGATTTTTTTTTTTTATGTCGGTGACATAAAGATGGTGTTTGCTCTTAACCAGCTGCAGAATGTGTCATGGCTTGACGCAAAGTTATTTGGACAGTTCAAGTTCACTGACAGGGGAATTTTACATTCCTTTACTGTCTTTCTACTGTTGAAACATTGAAAGTTGATGCCCCTTACAGGATTGTTTATAACCTTAAAATGTTGCATGACCTTGACTCAAGGTCGCTCTGTCCTGTCCGGAGCTCCGACGGAAGACCTATTCGTTGCATTGCAACGAGCTCGGCTCTAGTTGATTTTCCTGTTTGTATTCTTCTTGTTTTTGTTTTGACTTTAATGTCAGGAATAAACACCTGGATGGCTTTGTCAACTGATAATGTCTCACATTCTGCAGAAACATTACTCAAAGATGAAAGGGTTACTGGTTGAGTTTCAGAAACATCTGCATCTACTTTTACATTTTCTTCTGCAATATTATCATCACTGTCATCACTTTCTATCATAGCCTCTTTTAATACCTGTTTTTTAAAATTTACAAAGTCATTGATAATAAAAAATACTTAATGTAGAATATACATAAAAATCATGTTATAAACTTAAACTTTGGCATAAACATTTGTAGACTGAGGATGCCCCCCCCCCCCCTCCCCAGGCTCTGCTAATTTGTATATAATTTTAAACAATTTAGGTCAATATAAAAAAAATCAACAAAATTGTGTACATGTGTAATGAATGAACATCATGGCATTTTTAACCATTTATTTATGTAAATATAATGTCACATATATAATTATATACATGTATAATGTAATAAATATGCCATTACATAGATTATATTTATAAGAAATCTTTCTATTCTTTTGTCACAGTTCTCTCTGGCCTTTCCCTCTCCTTTTTAAAACTTAAATCCCAACGCATAATTAGATTAATAAAAAGGCCTACTTGCAACAGATATAAGTTATAATATTTTTTTTTTAAATTAAGTACCTATGTAATAAGTATTTTCTTTTTACCTCAAGTCTTTGTCGCTTTCTAAATGCACCAAATCCCGATGGTTTTCTCTCAGTGATTGATGAAGTTGAACATTCGTCTTGGGTAGGCCACTCAACATCGGGTACAGCATCATCTTTTAACTGAGCACGAGCATTTGGATAACCTAATTCAGCTAACCGGGGTGGATAGCGAGAATATTGATCTGGCGTACAGTGTTTCTCACATATTTTACTGTATTTTGTTAATTTAAGGTCTCTTCTACGGCAGTAATGTACCCATGCCTTTTGAAGACCTGCATCTTTTGGGAAGCGAAAAAATGATACATTTTTGTCCACTTTTGAGGAGCTTGAACAATTATAAACAGCACAATACGGCATCCTTACAGACTATGAATAACTCTAGATCTTTAGACACAAAGAAATATAATTGTACAAGTTCTTTATTTATGACTTAGCCTTTAACCCATTACTGGCAATTAAGGAAACTATTTGTCTTTGATCAATGATAAGAAAGATTTATAGTATCTCTTTGGCTGAAACATTTAGCATCTCTGTGCTGAAGCTGATCTCTGACGTCACCCCGACTGTTTCCGATCTCTGGGCTTTAAAATATGCATATTGAGGTCAAGCCGCTTATCAGCACTGTGTTACAGCACTAGCTGTGAAACAGATGCTTGTTTAACAGCTTCAGTGTTAGACTAAAGGATGATTAAGACATTGAATGCAGACAAAATATTTTTTGTGTCATGTGTCCTTTAACTGGGGAACTACCAGATTTACTCTTCTAGGAATACATTTTGATGTAGAATTGGATAAGGTACAACAATTAAATTATGAACCAAAATTAGTACATATTAAATCAATACTTGAACAATGGGAGAAAAGGTATTTAACTCCCATAGGGAAAATTACAGTCATTAAAACATTAGTTTTACCTTTATTAAATCATATTTTAATGTCAGTCCCAAATCCTTCTGAACTGTATTGTAAGGAATTGGAAAAAATCTTCTCATTTATATGGAATAACTCAACTCAAAGAGTAAAAAAAGAAGTAATTGTAAAAAAAATATGAAGATGGAGGTTTGAAAATGTTAAATCTGATGTCTTTCATAGCTTCCATGAAATTATTTTGGATAAGGCATCTCATCTTTACAAATAGGGGGATTGAACACCTCATTCCAAAATTCAGTTTGAAAACTTTGGAGTGAAGTAGAAGTTCAGCAAACCTTTTTAAAGTTTTGCTTTCATTTTTCTTACACTTCCTCTTCAGGATTGCCAGCTTGACAGAATGTATAGGGACTGTCCCTCAACAAGTTTTATCTACAAAATTTGTATGAAGTTCAGTATAGAGTTTTCATCATAGTCAATCAAGCAAATAAAACTGTTTTTATTCATTACAATTAATAACTTGTTAGGAATGATTTTGAACTTACTCAATTAAAACAGCTAGGTTAAGGACGTCCATGTGTAAACAAAGGAAAATCAGCAGCATATAAACGGTATAATTTTTAAACGAAATTTCAAGGCAATAAAAAATCACTTAAATAGGATCTATATATGGTTCAATTACAACAGTGCTCCGGATCATTTTTCAACAAGGACATTACTGACGTCAGCTGTTTATCACGTGACATACCAAAAATAGACAAAACATACCTTCCTACTTTCAACACAAAAGTTCAAGGATATACGACACGTGTTGAGAATAATGTCTACTACTAATTAAAAGTCCTAGAATTCCTTAACCTGAAAAGTGCTGGGAGCAAGTATAGCATCCTCGAGAACACAGTCTATTTTAACTTCAAAAACCTTCGACCGATACATAATCATGGTATTTACCATTTGCTTGCAAGAAAAAATGCTGTTGTAAAACATGCACAAGTTGCTCCCAGCACTTTTCTTGTAAAGAAATACATACCCTTAACATATTTATAAAGCATAAGTCCATACATATAAGGTATATCGTTGAACTTTTACGTTTTAGCAGATTCGGATTGCTGTTTATGCAAATGAGCTCATACAAAACGCACTGATGATCGAGATCAAGGGCAGATAATTCCACTATTTTGAAGTTAACAAAGCGTGCAAAATTCGACTTTAGAAAGAAAGAACACGTTTCCAAGATGTATTCATAATATCTTTGGAATAAAAAAAAGTTTAAACTCTTTTTAATGATTTATATTCTTGTTTTCAGGTTGAAAACCAGGACTGAAACTGCAGATTTGGCTATACTCTATTATTTCAAGCACTGCTATGAAGGGGCCTTAGTGGGCGTTTCCAGGCTTTATTACCAAAGACCATCGATTTTTTTCTCATACATTTCAATGAATAAACGAAATAAAGTTACATTGTTGTCTTTGTTTTCCCCAAAGGCTTTAATTTGGCACGATTCATGGAAGTGTTGGTAAAATTAAACCTTGGATCCACCACTCATATTGCATAAAAGAATCATACGTGTACATAAAACTCAAGCTGCAAGTCACATATATTCAAAAAAAATTTTTGAATAATCAAAGATAAATGACAAAAGATATGAACCAGGAATTTGTTTATTCAATTAAGCATAATTTTGTCAATATATAAAAATTAACAAAAAATCAATGAAGTTAATCTCTATACAAAATGCTTGTACAGGCTATGACAATAAAAGTCACTGAGATTGCAAGAAAATGAAGAAAAGTGATCAAAATTCAGATCATATCTTTTTTTTTCAATCAATATTTTTGCTGATAAACAACACTTGGAAGATGAGAGGGAAAAAAAAGTAAATTATTATCATAATAAAAAAATGTTTCGGTAGTGTTTTTAACCCCCCAAAAAAGAACAACTCGATAAATGAATGCTTCCAACTTTTGGAAAATGTTCAAAAATCAAAATAATTTTAAAATATTTTTTGGAGATTAATTTAAGAACAATCATGGCAGATGTGCAATATCCTGAAGCTGACCTTGAAATAGTTAAAATCAAAAACATTGAAAAAATGTAAGTAAGAAGATCAAGAAAGAAATTTTCTAACATTTGGGGTATTTGACAATACAGAGAGAGTCATCATGAATTTCTGTAACTTTGCGAAAGTTATAATTGGTCGTTGTACAAAAGATCCAGAATGCATTCAATGGTGGTCATCAAAGGAAAATGATAATAGTGCTATTGTAAATGTTAAGTCTTCAAAGTCAGCAACATTTAGATATAGCTTTTATAATAGTGTTATGAACAAATATTCCAAGATGCACTTGCCTTATGATAAATTTGTACGCCAGTTACCACGCGTGCAAAACTACTTAACACAACCAAAATACTGGAAAAACAGTAACAAAAGTGGACAGAAAAAAGACTTCCTTATGCAGTTTTCTTTGCAACAATGGGATTCCCTCTCACACAAAGAAAAACTTCGTCATACAATATATGACTGTTCTCCATGTAAAAATACAAAACTGATAAATTATTCAGTACTTCACAAGTCCACCACAGAATCAACTGAAAACATCGTGCAAATGTCTAATGAACTTGCAAATGAAATTGAAAATAAAAACAGTACAGGGGTCAACAAAATATTGAATGTCTTGGAACCAATCTCTGAAAAAAAGTTTCAAACAAACTTGAAATCAGTTGTTTCTGATAGGTACAACTTAACAGAAAAACTGCCTAGTGAGCAGAAACGCAAACAAAAAATCAAGCAAACACACGAAAACACAAACAAAATAAACCAAATCATAACCAACAATGAAAGCGAGGTTCAAAATTTTCTTGCGTCAGGGAAGTCTTACAGTCAAGTTGATAGGGATAGATTGTCCACATTTTTTGAAGCCACAAATTCAGCAAGGGAGAGAACTGTCCGTGTGTCAAAAAAAAGAACTGTCCAAAAGGGACAAATACCCCCAGCTGGGTTTTTCAGAGAAGATACCAAATCACTAATGTTTTCTAGATGTGAGAGGTGTTCACAATTTGCTTAAACATTTAGAGTGAGAATTTAATTACTCATTATATTTTTTTTTAATGAATGAAACTAATGTGCAGCCTAATAAAACATCAATATTAATAATTACAGTGTTTTTTTTATTACATTGAAAAAAAATAGTTTGCAACTATCTGTCATCTTTGTGAGACATGACACTCTGCAAATTGATTGTTGAAAAAAAAATATAATTAATTATACAAAGTCAAATTGATCTTAATACCTTTATATCAAACTCATTTTAAAAATAAAAGGCTGGTTTCAGTAACTATGTATTTTGACAGACATAAATTACAATTAAGAGGCTTAGACAACAGAGATCTTTATATCTTTCTGCCCAATTCCCAGGAGATATAGATAAGACCTGCTTGATCAGAGATACCATAACAGCTTCCAACACTGAACTCATTAATTAATCTTTAACTGGATGCATGTCCGATCATTACTCCAAAGGGACAAATAGATTTACACTATCTGCTGTGTAATGTGAAAACTGTTTTTAATATTTTGTGATTTTTTTTTAGTTCTAATGAGTAGTTTTAAGCTGTGGTTCACATTTTTGTACAGATGTTCTAGATTCTATGCCTCAAACCTTAGACATGAACCCAAAATGACTAAGTCAATAAAAATGAAAAAAAAAACACCTGTAAAATGCAGAAAAATTATCAAATAATGTTGAAAATACCAGGTGCACATCTTCATATGGTAAATAATAAGTGTACAAATTTTCATACAAATCTATGCAATAGTCTCTGGGAACAGATGTACAAAAAAACGACTTATGCCGTGATCAGCACTTGCGTACAAAGTATACGATCGCGGCATTTGCCGGAATAAGCATGATAAGGGTTGAAAATCTCTAAGGACAGGTAATGACAATTAGAGAATTCCAAGTAATTTTCTACTCATGGATTGAACAGAAATTGTGATTCCGAGGAATTATAACTCCGTTGTAAAAAAGTAGGTTTACGCAAGGTTTTTGAGATCTGAATGTTTCAGGTACCAAAGTTCAACTGTAGAATATTTCCTACAGTATAAGTTAGGACTTTGACATAAACTTTGTTTTGTTTTTGTTCTAGTGTACATCACTTTCAAACGTTTTGAAAATTTTAATCATGCTTTGAAAGAGATGCTTTGAAAAAAGAAAAATTGACATTCAAAATGTGCATTTGTATGAAATAATCTTTAAGGAGGTATTAAATGTATTGTTTTTGCTCCGTTTCTTCTGATTTCTTGCAAAACCTCTATATATGTAACCATTATCAAGTCAAACCTCGTTATTTTGAACTCCATGGCACTGAAAAAAAAACTATCGACATATCCACGGATATCACATCGAGGTTAAAATACTTGAAGAAATAGTAGCTGGAATTTTCACCTCAATTCAACATATGCGTGATGTTCGAGATATTAAAGTTCCAGACATCAAAGTTCAACTGTAGAGTATTTTCTACAGTATAAGTTCAGACTTTGATACAAACTTTGTTTTGTTGTTGTTACAGCACTGAGAAGATATTCAAGAGATGTAGTGAGCACGTCAAGGAGTCACAGGAAATGATGTGGAGCATGAAGATCATAAAGGTACAAATTGATGTGAATTTGTCTGAAAATAAAAATCCCCCCCCCCCCCAAAAAAAAAACGTTTTGTTCTCATGTACCGTTGCAACTCAATGTTAAAAAACTTGATGTAAAAAAAAAAGGGGGGAACTGGAGAAA